GGCTGCCAGTGTATTTGCTAGTGTCTGTCAGCCTCTCGACCCCACCAACCTTGGTGGCTTTCTGCAAGAAAGGAAACCAGCAAGAGGCAGCCAACATTAGGAAAGCTCACAAACAAACTCTTCCCTACATGTGAGGACAGCACACATCCCTACAGCAGGGATGAAGGGTCCTGTGGCAGCTCAAGGTGAGCAGCAGGTGAGGAAACTCATACTCACCGTGGCACCCACGTGGCCGGGCTCCTTCCCCTCAATGAGGCCATACACAGCCTGCAGTGCTTCCTCCGGCGATTTGCCCTTGAAGCGCTTGACGCAGAGCTCCTTCATGGCCTGCTGAAACTCAGCGAAGGTGATGGTGCCGGCACCCTTCGTCCTGTGGTGAGGGGAGACCAAGAGGAAACATGTCTCGCTGCCAAGTGGCAGCAGGATGGGAAACTCCCAGGACTGCCTGCTGCATGAGAGACTGCCTGCCTCCTGCCATTCCCTCCTCCCGCCCGGCTGGTCTGCCTGCTGTGCCTCCCTGCAGTGCAGTACTCACTTGACTTTGTTGAACACTATGTCAATGTCAGTGCTGGTCACGGCTTTGCCATCCATCACTCCACACTCTTTGCACATCTTGGAGAAGTTTTTCCCTGTCATGTCATTGCCACTGGCAGATCTGTCACCGTATCTTGCAAATTTACGGAAAGTGTCTTCTACTCCCGACATCTTGCTGCGATGGAGAAAAGAAGTTAGCAGGGAAGGCACTGGGGACCATATGCTGCTGCTGGACACAGACTCGTGTCCCACGGGCCTCCAGCAGAGCAAGGGGCACCACCCGCAAGTGTCTCTTCACCATGGGATAACTGTGACGACCGCACAGGTGTTGGGTTGAGACAAAGGCAAGGCAAAAGAGGAGTGGAGGTGGGGCTCTGGGGTGAATTCATGGCTGCTGCGTGTGAAGGAACAAGGCACCCAAAACTTCCAAACCCTTCTGAAATACAAGTTTCAGTCAGACTGTCTCGATAACAAATTGCCTGCATTTGTAAGTTGATTTGTGCTTTGCCTGTTATTTCATGATGGGGATGCCAGACTTGTCTTCCAGGCCCCAGGTAAGTGCCGGTCCCACAGGCTTTCTTGCAAGTAGTCACCAAGGAGTTGTCCCCATCTTTCCTCACCACACTTTATCGATTGGATTGCTCCCTGAATTAGGTTGCCCTCCTCCCAACACCAGTAAACTTTCCACTGCTTAGACCACTGCAACCAGGTATCAGCGATCTCCAACAACCAGATTGTAAACTGATCCACCACGACTTGAGCAGCCAGGTCCTGCTGCCTGTGAGACACCCTCGAACCTTTTTGAAATCCCCAGCCTCTCCTACAGCCTTGTGCTTAACCCGGGGGCTCCGGGTCTCAGAGTTGTCTCCCAGGACCCTTCCCTCCCACCCTGGGAGCTGCGGACCCGGCTCACCTTCTCGACGCGGTGGTGGCGGTGACGGCACTGGCAGTGGTGCTGGCGCTCTGCCCGTTGTCCTGGAGGCAGTGGGGACTCGAAGTCTGGGTAACCGATTGCTACCTCAAAGCTCGTGCGTGTCACAGTGCCGG